GTTAAACTGGAACAATAATTAGTTTTAATAATGGACACTTTTAATTCTCAGTATTTGATACTATCAACAAATAAAAATACTATGTACAACTACTGTCATAAAAAACATTATGTTGCATGACTAAAAACGTCCTTATTTAAATAAATTTATCTGCTAAATTCGATATAGATTTATCATTTATTTTCCTTTACTTACAGACAAATGATTATATTGACTGTTTATTACACACCAAAGTATTATAGCAGTAAAAGATTCTGTCCCTAGTCCTCATTATCAAAAAGATGGCATGCATGCTTAATTAATAATTACCTTAGGCATGAGCTCCTAAATTCTTCGGGTGTGATTTTTCCCGTGGAAAGTTTTTTCAGCAGCATAATTTTTTCGCTGTTAACTTTAACTTTTGAAAAGTTTGCAAAACAGTATTGGGTACATTTTTCTGTTTTTTTCTGGCCCTTTATTTCATGATTTTCAAATGCATGAAAAACATCTGTGATGGAATTCCAGACGTCTTCATCATAAGCCGCAAGGCTAAAGTGAACTTTGTAAGAGTTCTTCAAGTCCATTTTCTAAAAAAAAAATTATGAGTAAATCATTTTAAAAAATGAAATGTATAACAATTATTTTTTTGAGGACAGTGTATTTGGAATATTTATAAACACACGTTTGACAGACTGGATCAGAATCATCAAACCAGCTAGCCAATATAGTCAAGTGGAAATTTATGTTTATTTGCAGATAGTAGGATTAATTAAAAATAACAAGACAAAGGGTGGGTGTTTTTGTGGGATTAGACACAGACACTGTCGGTGTCAATTTATGACTCTGAAACAATGAAATGGAGGAGTAATCAACCGAAATTCATTCCTTAATTTTCTAATTATATAATTAACAAAAACTTTTTTACAAAACTGTTTGGCAGTTTTTATTAAATTGTTTATTTTAATTTATACCTAATATTTTGATCATATGTATCTATGTAATATCTTAATTCATTGTGGACCCCCACTCCAAGCACCAGTGGGAAAAGCTATTATTTGACAGCTAGTGAAAAAAAATTCTTCTCTATCACTGATAATAATTAATATGGATCAATTGTTTATTCAATGGTTTATTCCACGGTTTCTTGAAATATTTACAACTCAGGCAGTAATGCCATCCATTTCTCACTAAGACCAATTAATTTTTCTCATGTGTTCTCTGGCCATGGCCATTTCTAATCTTTTACTCCCTGGTCATGCTGTTTTCCCAAACAAATCAATGAAAATATTCACGTTCAGCTCTATCTCACCAAATAAACAAAATAAAGAAAAAATAAACATGTTTAACAAATATATTATGAATTCAAACTTCCTTTCTCATTCTTGAAACTCGGGAAAGGCTGTATTGTATGTTATGATTTAAAAAAGATGAGGTAGTAGTTTAAGTAAATTGAAGATTTAAAAAAATCAAATTGAACTAAGGTAGAAGGGCCCCATTGTAATAAATTTCAAAACACATAAAGGCTAAAAAAAAAACTCTGAAAATTTTATATTCTCATGAACTACCTTGGGATGAGTAAGAATATGACATGTCTAAACATGAGACATAACTGAAGTAAAAAATATTGGAATTTTTTTTAATGATCTATCAATAAAAATATGTGGCAATTCATCAGAAAATAATCTTAATTTAGATATTAAGAATATACATGTATGAGAATCGATTTTTTGAGAATTCGCTAGTTACATGTCCATGAACTTCAATGCATATTTTTAACGAAAGCTACGCTTCATCAAATATGCAGGCCTAAAGAGTCGTAGTTCATGTGCCTCAATCATGAATTCTAAAATAAATTTTTTTCAAGACCTGATGTTTTTTATTTGTAATTCAAGGATAACTTGCAATAAAATATATAAATGCTAGAAAATAATGAAGAATGTTGTGTATGCATGCAGACATGAATGGAAGTTTGTCCTGTATAAAAATTATAGAGTCCCAAGTTAAAAATAATTTTTGTTTTGTTGAACTGCCTGGAAATGTAAACAAATTGCATTTTTACAGTAGCAGACATCCGTTTAATAGACAGGTATACATTATACTGACGTTTTATGCTCAAGTTTTCAACTACTGAACATTTTTTTTATCTTTCAGTACATTAATTGGCAAGGAAATAAATCAGCCTTAATGCATTCATTGTATGACGGTTAAGTAAGAAATTTAGGAATTATCAAAATTTGATTGTTTTTAGTGTTTTATCCCAACCGAACAAGAAATCAAATTATTTAAATTTTCTTGACATTGCATGAAACATACAGACAAAAAATTAAAATAGTTGATGAGTACTTTGCAGAGGCATATCCAGACTTGATATATGTCTTGTCCATCTAATACATAATGTTTCGTTATTGAAGGATCAGTAAAATCTTAGTTGATTGATTACACTTCAAAATGAAGTTCTCAGTTTTCAACTTCATTCTATATTTAAATAAATGTTTTATTTGTGAACTAAAATGCAAAGTAAGAGATTAAACCAACAATTTCAATCATACATTTATAATAAATGACTATAGCTTAAATTTGAACCAATAGATTTAAAAATGTCTGATTTTTTAGTAATTATGAAAGCAAAGTACTTACGGATTTATTGAGGATTGCACCTATCTCAGACCTCCATCTCATTGAAATGTGCTTCTGTGGCTTTCCTGCATGTTTTTCTTTGTTTTTCAAAAAACTTGTAGAAAGAAGACAACTTTCTCAGAGAAAGATAATTCCTGGGAGTTTTCATGTAGTTCATTATGCTTATAGGATAATGAAAGAGCCTGAGCTTCAGTGAGATTTGTGTATATGTCCATGTACACATTTTTGTAAGCCTCACTATTTTCTCCTGCCAGTTGCTTTAAAGCTGCAACGGTATGGTTTCCTCCTAGAATTTCCACAGGCTCCTGGTTTGGAATTGACATTTTAGAGATGTCCGCTTTTGTGGAGGCTAATCCTATGAGGACCGTGTATGGATCAAATGATTTTCGAAAGGACTTTACAAGATCTTGGACGTGTTTGTCACTGATAGCTCTTATGGAGTGTCCATCTTTTGGTGGGATCAAATTATCAATGTGAACTTTCACATGGGCTGCTACAATATATATATATAAATCTATTAAATATTTTTCACAACAGAGTTATTTGACTTATTGGAGGTGTTTGACAATAAAAATCAACAGGAAACATAAACCGATAATATTTTCACAGCCAATCATTTCGGGACAATAAAAAATAGAAATAAGAAAAATCCTTAAAATTCTGAGTAGAAAAAGTATTTTTGATATCTTGGATAATTAGAGAATTATTTTTAAAAGAATTTTGATTACCTTTCAAATTCTTCCTAATCATTTCGGCATCAAGGCTTTTGAATATTGTGTCATCTTGATCCTCACTTTCACACTTTCCTCATTCTTCTCAACTTCACTCAAATCCATTTCGCATTTGATGTTTTGAAGTTACTTGCTCAGAATGGTCAAGTATTTACTTAGTAGAAGAGCAAAGGGCAGAAGCAGATTCTTATCAAAGAGAAATAATACAACGCATGCGTGCTCTTATCAGACTCAGAAGATGGTTTTAACTTCAAGATTTAAAAGCACTAGCTTGTTAGAGTCCAATATGAAAGGAACATGAATAAATTATTAAGAAGATTTCATCCTATTTCTAAAGAATGGCAACAAAATACATGTGAAAAAATTGGGTTAACATTCCGTGACTTGGGTCTGTATGATGAGATTTATGACAACCAGAATCTTGGGAAACCCTTGGATTGCTTAAAGATAATAGGAGATGGAAATTGTTTATTTCGGTGTTTCGCTTGTGCAATTTGTGGTGACCAAGAAACACACAGTTATTTTAGACAAATTATCACATCTTTTATTTCTGAGAGGAAGGAAGCAATATATAACAATGAGTATCCAAGGGAGTACTTGGAAAGAAGTCGAATGCGAGAACGTGGGGTTTGGGGAACAGAAATAGAGCTACATTACTCTGCCTTATGTTTTAACATTACCATCTATGTTTATACCAAGTATGGACCAAAACATGATTGGTTAGAGTTCAAACCTACATCTCAGACTGATGGCAAAGCCATATATCTTTATCATAAGGATGGCAACCACTATGATATTGTAAGATCCGTTTCTACACCTGATGTTTTGTGTACACCGGGTTTTGAAGAAGAAACTGTGATACTAACAGAAGATTCTGACACACCAGAGGATTCTTCTGTGGTAAGTAAAATTTGAATGTAGTGTGTTTAGTCAGATCCAATAAATGTACTACATGTGTCATTCTCTTGAAAAATGAAAATATGTGCTAGAGCAGTGGAATCATTTTAAGCATACAATCATAAAGAGTTGCAATTTCTGTGTCCAGTTATGACCATAATCTTTAAATATACAGTGTATATATTTTATCAATATAAATCAATGTAATTGCACAAAGAAACATTCCTAACTGCTTATTAGAGAATAAGCATTGGATACCAGTGTTTCATTATTACAATTTCTATTATTCTTCATTTTCAATTCAAGCTACATTGAGCCCAGCTTTACTAAAAAAAAAATATTTCAGATTGATTAAACATGATAAATTATTTACGTTCACATAAAAATGTTTACTTATTTTGCATTTGAATTTTTTTTGTTTTTATACATTCTACAATTTTTTAACATTAAATTTGGAAGTGGGAAAATAATTTGGTTATTGTTTTGAATTTTTTTTTCTGTTTAAGGTAAGTCACTCGTCAGCTTTTTAGAAAAGTTCACGCAGAACCTCTAACTTCAAAAATATTTATTAAAATTCAATTTTTATAAAATAATTATATTCAAAAATGTATAATTTTTAACAATCAAAGAAAAAACTGCTCAAAATCTTCAAAGAAGCAAGATTTATCAGGGACTATTTAGCAGAAATTTCTGCAAGTCTGCACATTTATTAAATTTAACGTCTTGAAACTTAAGCCTCACATACTTTTACTTGGACAATATTTTCGGTTATGATATTGATAGGAATATTTGATATAGGTCTTAATTTAAAATTTTTAGAATAAGTTTTAGATCTTTCCTTCAACAAACTTTGCCAAAAACTGGAGAATTATCAAAGCCACTCGAGATAAATTTTACACCATTTTTTGTCTGAAAAATCACATATTTAGTCCAATATTTCAAAATTAACATCACTGACCCCAACTTTTTCTTTCATTATTTTAAACTTCTCGATACTTATGACTGATCAGTACTTAAGTCATACAAAGCTTGATATCTAAGAAAAAAATGATATTGCCTATTTATTTTTCTGGTACATAAAATATGTTAAATTTTAGTGCAAAAATGTCATATAATTATTTACGCGCATTAATTTGCAAGATTTGATCAATGATAAATATTATTCAAACTATTTTTAACGTGTGCTCCTGCATTAGCTGGATATGCTTTCTCAGCACGTACGCGTTTTCAATTTGCACCACCGAAAACTGAAAATGTCGTGAATTGAAAATCGGCATTGTTACATTTAGAATTAAGAATGGCTAATTAGTCAGCTCGCAGAGTTAGTGCATAGACATAAAATCTTAACAATTAAGTGAGCAACTTAATAGAAAATTTAGCAGCTGCTGATTGGATGAAAAAGCGGGTTAGGTTCTAAATGCCTGTTAATCAACTGTCTCTAACTTCACTGTTTTCAAAATATATCAGTTTCCGTTCTCAAGTACTTCATGATGATTACGTACACTTGTCAAAACTTTTTAATTTTTTTTTCTAAAATCAGAAACAAATACTACATTAGTTAAGTTTCCTCCCGCTAGACAAGCTTTCAAAGCAAGTTAATACCAGTGAGAGAGTACTTCCCTATGTACACACGGGCCACATGCAACACAATTGGTTTTAGGCTTGCATGATAAGACAACATCTATTTATATAGAATGATGGAAATCTTACTGCCTCACCATCCAAGCTTGCATCCAACTTTATTTCAAGGTGAAATATTTAATTAAATTTAAAAAAAGAATAATCACAGATGACAATAGTATCGAACTGCAAATTAATTTGAAAATATCGAATTAATAATTTGGAAAATGATGTTCCTGTTCAGTCAAATGTTGGTAAAGAAATGGGATATCCTGACACTGAGGTTTATCATATTGATATGCGGAGTTCATTATAACTGCTTTAGTTGTATGTAAACAAAAAAAAATAAATGCATGTAATAACTTTATCGCAAAACAATATTTCTTAACCGTGTATGTAGCGGATACTTTATGTATGCTTCAATTAAAATGGTACTGATCACTCTAATTTTGATAGTTATGTCAAATTATACACGAGAGCACAATTAGTTTACAAAACTAAGGTACATTTTAATCTTTATACAGACAGAAAAATTATGTACAGAAAAATATAAATATTAAGCGAGTAGACTTATAAAATTCATGATTATATATTTAATGTCAAATCAACAAGATACTGTTCTATAAATAAGTCAGGCTCTATGTACTCCTACAAGAGTACTTTGATTAAAAAAATGTCAAGAAAGCTTAATCTCCAGAGTACCTTTATGATAAGCAATCATTTGAATGAGAAACTTTAATTGCTGAAACAGAAACACATATTTTAAAATACTAATTTTCAGTTGTAAATATAAACAAGACTGGTGTTCACAGCATTTATGAGAAATCTGATCTAGCACCATGTGTATACCACCTATAATGCATCTCTTTAACCCTGATCATTATCATACCAGACTAATTGACTCAAAAGGAACCCTAATGGACGCATTAGCTGTTATCAAGAAAAATTACAATAAAGATAAGAATACTTTACATTAAAAAGATAGAAATAACAAAGAAAAGAATGTATTTATATCAAACAGATACATCATATCATTCAATTTTTTTATCATGTTTTGTAAACATGTATTTCAGATCAACTTGTCTGATTTCCTCAAGGGAATGAGTTTTGAAGATGAAAATGGAAGTTCAAATATGATAGATGACAATGCTTTAGAAACCTCTAAGACTGACCCATTTGAGTTTGAAGATGAGGTAATTTTGCAAGATATAATACGTACATGTAACTGAATGACTTAATTAAGTAGAAAATGCTTTATAAATATTTAGAGTTATTTAGAAATAATTTTGTTTATTATCAAACATAAAGAAAGTACTTGAAATTACTTTAAATTTATTTTTAAAGGTGCCACGATGGGTAACCAATATTTCATTTATGATTTTAAATTTTATATCAGTTTAAGTGAAAGGATTAAGTACATGTATCTAGAGTCGTTATATCGTTTTCAGAATTCCATGTCTGATAATAAACAAGTTAATGAAACTGGCTAGATAATTAATAATGGCATGAGTAACACAGGCATGGCAAATTACTTTCATATGTTAAAAGTGCATTTACATGTGTAAAACTAAAATTCCAGTTTTTTTAACTAGAATTCTGATATAGTTGTACTACATATTGACCTTTAATTTGAATGATCTGAATCTTACATCCAAAAGCTCAATACTTAATGCAGTGGGACAACTAATATATAATGTTTTGCAGGATTTCCTCTCCTACTCTCCAATACCAAAAAAACAAACCTCAACACCAAAGAAATCAAAGCTGAAACCTTTGAAAGTTGAAATAGAAACTGGAATCATGGTAAAATTTACAATTACCTGGTTGATGTAATGCTGTATCTCAGATTTCCTTATTTCTGCAATTTTCTTCTACTAAATATTTTAGTTTAAACTTTTTTGTATGAAATATATTATTTTTTATTTATTCAGGATGTGTCAAGTGACATTGGGCAAATATCTCAAATATGCAGTGACATAAGTATTTGCAACTCAAGTTTTGAGGAAGCACTTAAAAACAGTAAACCAAAGAAATATGCATTAAAAAAAAACAATAGTTTACTCCTCAGAAAAGCTCTGAGGGACGTACCACTATCTATGTCAAAAAGGAAAAGATGTCGAAATTATTGCCTCCAACATATTAGTGAAGAAATGATGAAAAATATGCGATACAAATTCTGGACAAAGCAGTTTGAACAAAGAGTAGAGTGGTTTATTGACAAGATCTCAGAGAGCAAGAAAAATCAAAACTCCATTTGTTTCCAGATTGAAAGTGGAAAAACAGTTTGTGGTTCATGTTTTCGGTTTCTTTTGAGAATGAACCGAAATTTTTACTACACTTATCTTAGAATGGCAAATGATGGAAAAACTGCTGCTGGGTATCGGAATACAAGAGGTTGTGGAATGGCAAAAGAGGGTGCTATAGTTTGGCTCCAGAATTACCAATTTTTTCATGCTGACAGAATGCCAGACAATGGGGACATGATGCTACCATTCAAGACTAAAAAAAGAGACATTTACAACATGTATGTGGAGGAAAAAATTGAATGCTTGGAAAGATCTGTAATTGATGCACTCACAGTCAGTCAGTCTGCATTTTATGACATTTGGAAAAATGAGTTTCCCCATTTAAAGATAAAACAAGTAAGTTTTTTTCTTATAATACACCTTGAAAAATAAAGAGAAAAATTTTATAAATTTGTATTTAAATACAAATATATTTAACCTGTGAACAACATTATCTTTATTGGGACATTTCCTTTTCATTTTAGACCAACTCATTTTCCAAGTGTTCTACCTGTGTACACATTGAAAGGGAGCTGGAAAAAACACGTGACCTTTCTAAGAGAACAAAGTTGAAACAAATGATGCGTGTCCACAACCAGAGGCAAATGTGAGTGCTTTAAGAGTGCTTGTAAATTAATTTTTTAAAGATATGGATTCCCTTAATTTTTGAACTTTTTGTAACATTTTGCAATATCAAAATTATAAACTGACAGATATGCACACTCACCCTCAATAGCAGAACCACACACACACACAAATGTATGACATCTTCTTGATCCAATCTAATTATGTAACTTATTTGATGATTATTAATGGTATTAAACTGATTTGATTAAACCTAAGAATGTTTATGCCTACATTTTCTTTTCCCTAAAGGACAGACAGACGATATTACTACAGAAAAAGAGATATTGCAAAAAATTATCCTCAGAAGCACATGAGCATCATTATTGATGGCATTAGATCAAGTGAGTTAAATTAAATTTTTCCTTATACCAATTCGAATTTCTAAAAAAATGAAAATAGATTAATTGACACTTGTGTTCCGTATATTTTACAGGTAAAACAAATTTGCCACATTTCACTGGAAGACTTATGAAGGTAAATAGCAAAAATGTTTTAAAAGAAGGAAAAACTACAGTATACTGACAAATAATATATCCTTTGACTTTAAGATATTACTTCTTAAAATAAGTTTTTCATTTATTCGCCACCCTATTTCATTTATTTTTATAATGACAAATGCTTTACTATCAATTAATAAGAATAAACTATTTTTTTTTATGCAAAATTTATGTCATTGACTTTTCCTTAGCTAAATGATAATTTGCATTAATTTTCGTTTTTTAGGGAGTAGATCCAAACAGCTTTTTGAAAACCCATGTACAAGGAGTACTAAACCACGGGATGGGAACATTCGATGTTTATGTTGACATCAATGAATACTGTCATGACTCCAACTTGGTGATGAATGTTATTTTAAAGACAATTCACAATTCCATTTCAAAGGCAAGATTTTAAACTGATGCTTTAACAGCTTTTAGAAAGAGGTTTAATTAATTAAGATATTGATGTGATTTTATTCGTATTGAAAAAAAATATTTCTGAATAAGTTATATGAAAAATGTCTATTTTCAGGATGGATATCTGCCACAGAGGCTGTACATCCAAGCGGATAATTGTGCAAGAGAAAATAAAAACAGATTCGTTCTAGGGTTTTGTGAATTGCTGGTTAGACTATCAATATTTCATGAGGTACGTATACAACATGCATAAATTAATGAAACAAAAGTACAGAATATCATTCTTAATTCATGTTGATGCTACTTTTGAAACAAGTTTCATTTGAATGTTCTAATTTCTTAATATTAAATTATTCCGCAGGTGCATTTGTCCTTCCTCCATGTTGGACACACCCATGAAGATATTGATGCGGCATTTTCACAGTTAGCCATGCGACTAAGAAGATGTGAAGCGGAGACAATGCCAAAACTCTTAAATATCTTGAATGGAGCTAAACAATTAAGAGGTCTTTTTGATATAAAATCATGGCTACAACCACATTTACGTGTAATTAAGCATCATTCAAAACCGCTTCATTTTAAATTCAGTAAAAATGAGACCCAAAATATCACAATGCAGTACAGGACCAACAGCAATAAGACATGGAAGACAACCGAAGAAGAAGGAATATTGAATGGCATTCCACCTGGAGAACCTCATATTTTACTACCAAGCAATTTTCACAAAATAGACATACCAAACATCAGAAACAACATTCAGAAACATCAATACAACATGTCAGATGAAGGACAGTTTAGGTGGTGGATATCCTACTTAGAATATCTACAGGTAGTCAAAGATGATGAACATTCCCTAAAGGACTATGCCCTTGACGGAGCAATTTGGTTGTTGCCACAACTAGAAGGCAGGCAAAGAAAATCTGAAGAGGTTTTAGTAGAGATCAACAGCCATCTTCTTGAAATGCTGGATAAGGAATTAGACGAATACGAGGTACTATTTTGTGTTCTCCTAATCATTTTTGTTTGTTTTACTAGGAATTAAATGTTTTCAACTATTTTTGTTGGCAATAAAGATTTATTAAAAAGTCAGTTAACTTTATGCACAAAATGGCCCTGTAGATATACCAAGTAATTGAACAACACTCAATTTTCTATTTGAAGCATTAAAATACAGTAGAGACTTGGTGCTTTCATTTCCTATAAAAATTTTCTCCTCTGAGTCCAGGTCTTGGAGATCTGGCTGTATGAAACAACAATGTTCTTGAATTTTAAGGTAAACATGTATAATTGAGTACTTTCTGTTAAGAAAAATAAGATGAGCGCATTCTCTGATCTAAAAAGTAAAACATGTCGAATAATCCTCAGAGACAGTTCTATCATTAACTAGTTGCAGACTTTAGATCAGAGTTGCGCTCTATATTAAATATCAAAAAATGGCTTTAAAAATTGGCCGTTTTTGTAGACTTTTTCAGAACACAAGGAAATTGACGCATTTCTTGATAATGCATTGACTGGCCAGAAAATGATGGCATTTTTGATAGATATGAAGTCACCAAAGATCTCAGTGATATTTAATGCATTGTTAACAAAAACTATGCAGTTTCAGTTTTTCAGAAATTCACAGGGCCAAATATGGCAAAATTGAACCATGTTTTTTTCTTAAGTACTATGTCTGTATACCATGTCTTTTTCAGTCTGAATCACATTTTATTTATCTGGAATATTTCAAAATTTGAAGAAAAAAAATTATTTATCCAAGTTATCTTACTATAGTGAATTGGCTAATTGATGTATTTCGAAGTAAATGTAAAATTATTTTTGCAAGATAACATCTTTAATATAATTTTTAATGATGTTTCCAAAAAGATTTGATTTTGGGCATGTTTGTGTTTTAGGTTATCGTGTCAAAGGGGAAAAAAGAGGACAAGAAAAAAAAGATTGCGAGGAAAAGAAGATCTGACAGGAAAGATAAAGACAGTTCTTGAATATCATAGCTGTATACGTGAAGCTTAAAAATTGAGTATGGAGAGTTTTTGCCAATGACCTTGGACTTATATAAAATCATTCTTCGACCACAAAACCATTTTGTATGCATATAAAGATAGAAGATTGATACCCCAAGTGCATTGCTTTGTACAAATTCATACTCAAATGTAAATAACTTAGAGATGAAGGATTAATACCCCAAGTGTATTGCGTTGTACAAATTCATACTCAAATGTACATTACTTAGAGATGGAGGATTAATACCCCAAGTGTATTGCGTTGTACAAATTCATACTCAAATGTACATTCCTTTGTACAAATTCATATTCAAATGAACATTACTTAGAAGGGAGGATTAATACCCCAAGTGTATTGCGTTGTACAAATTCATACTCAAATGTACATTCCTTAAAAATAGAGGATTAATACCCCGATAGTACCGGGTATTGCTTTTCACAAATACATACTGAATTGTACATTACTTAGAGTTGGAGGATGAATACCCCAAATGTATTGCTTTGTACAAATTCATACTCAAATGTATATTACTTAGAGATGGAGGATTATTACCCCAAGTGTATTGCTTTGTAAAAATTTATACTCAAATGAACATTACTTAGAGATGGAGGATTAATACCCCAAGTGTATTGCGTTGTACAAATTCATACTCAAATGTACATTCCTTAAAAATAGAGGATTAATACCCCGAGAGTATTGCTTTTCACAAATACATACTGAATTGTACATTTCTGAGAGTTGGAAGTTTTATTCCCCAAGTGTATTGCTTTGTACAAATTCATACTCAAATGTACATAACTTATAGATGGAGGATTAATAACCCCAAGTGTATTGCTTTGTACAAATTCATACTCAAATGTACATTACTTAGAGTTGGAGGATTAATACCCCAAGTGTATTGCGTTGTACAAATTCATACTGAAATGTACATATCATATAGATGGAAGATTAATACCCCAAGTGTATTGCTTTGTACAAATTCATACTCAAATATACAATCTTCGAGATGGAGGATTAATACCCCAACTGTATTGCTTTGTACAAATTCATTCTCAAATATACAATCTTCGAGATGGAGGATTAATACCCCAAGTGTATTGCTTTGTACAAATTCATACTCAAATGTACATTACTTAGAGTTGGAGGATTAATACCCCAAGTGTTTAGCTTTGTACGAATGCATACTAAAATGTGCATTACTAAACAATGGGGGATTTTAAAATACCTCAAGTGTATTGCTTTGTACAAAATTATAGACAAAAGTACGTCACTTAAAGATGGGAAATTATTATCCCAAGTGTATAACTTTGTTCAAATACATACTCAAATGTGCATTATTTTAAGATGGGGGATTAATACCCCAAGTGTATTGCTTTGTTTAAACACATACTCAAATGTGCATTATTCAAAGATGGGGGATTAATACCCCAAGTACATTGCTTTGTTCAAAACACATATTCTAAAAAGCATTAGTTTAAGATGGAGGATTAATACCCCAAGTGTATAGCTTTATTCAAACACATACTGAAATGTGCATTATTCAAAGATGGGGGATTAATACCCCAAGTGCATTGCTTTGTTCAAACAAATATTCAAATGTGTATCATTCAAAGATGGGGGATTAATACCCCAAGTGTATAGCTTACTCTAATGTACTTTATTTAAAGATGGGCGATTAATACCGCAAGTGCATTGCTTAGTTCTAATACATACTTTAATGTTCATTTTTTTAAAGATGGGGGATTAATACCCCAAGTGTATTGCTTTGTTTAAACACATACTCAAATGTGCATTATTCAAAGATGGGGGATTAATACCCCAAGTGTATTTCTCTGTGTAAATACATTACTTAAATGTGAATGACTTAAAGGTGGAGGATTAATAACCCAAGTATCATTGGACTTAACATGAGTATAGTGCCTATAAAAAATGTCATTCTTTGAGTATTTTGCAATAAAAACCTAGAAAAGGGACACATTGGAATTTCCTTTTTTATTCTGGAATGCATTAAATCTGTTTTATACAATATGCTCAAGTTTTGGTTTTATGTGTATATACTTTTACATTCTACTGTTTTTTGTGGTGCTGCCCCTGGTGTCTGCCATCCGTAAATGGTTATCAAACTCTGCATAGGCCAATATCATAAACATGTATTGCTCTTAACGAGAAATTGTTTAGCTTAGGTAACATTACACTCCTCTGATCAGTTCTAAAACGGCAAACTCAAGTGTTTCTACATCCAGATTTTTTTTTTTTGTTTAAATAAATATAAGTGAGAACAAAGAAATTTATAGATCTGATTATTGTGTGAAAATAAAACTGAAGATAGTAATCTAAGAAGAACATCATTCCAAGGATCATGTAATAACTGAACACTGTATATTTATTGAAAGATACTTGCACATTAACATAAATCAAGAAACTCATAAGGCCATACAGATACAATAATTGAAAGATAAGCAAACTCTCCGCCTAATCCCTAATGATATTCTTCCTAATGATATATGTGTGTACTCTGACAATAAAACCTTCCTTTTGTAATGCATGTACCTGACTTCAAATAAGAGAGATAAGAGGGGAACACAATTACTTTATCATTTATAGGTATATTTAATGCACGGCAAAAAAGTTGTCAGTTCAAATGTTAAGGATTTTACAACTTCCAGTAGGTGAACAGCAGATAACATACTTTTTCTTTACAATATACTTCTATAACTTTTTTCTGATTTAATTTTAATTTATTAGGTAATTGCTAAATATTGCTTGAAATATTTATTGTGTGTTCATTTTACTTAGAGAAGCTGTGCTAAAATGTGTGCAAAACTTGTTCAGCTGCTTTGTAACATTTAGGAAATCCCCCATAACCATTCATCGCCTGTCAATTTATCAGCAATTCTCCATCAGCACACTGCAGTGCTGTAATGTGATCCTGTTACAAACCCTATACTGGTCAGTTCAGGGTGTAAAAGTGTTTGACATTATGAAAAAGTATGAAAGAGAGCACTATAAATCTGCAAAGACCAAAAATCTTTTATGATAAAATATAAACGAGTTAAGGGTACTTACCACAAACAAAAAAATGGATGCGTGGGTTGATATTTATTTTTTGACTGATTTTGATTTGTAATGACATAAATAATAAATCCCTGAAATATAAAGAAATCGTAGGTTTTCCTTGGTGCTTAAATTTGAGATTTTATTTTGCCTTCTATATAACTCCATAAAAAATTTTGCACAATCTTTTAACTTTATGACAAAATCTTATAAAATTCCCCCACTCTACTTGGTAATCATTATTCAAGTTGTCAATTTAAATGCAAATCGATGAGAAATAATGCTGATTTCTATAAAAAGTTTGTTTGTGTTATTTATCCTTAAGCGAAGCCTAAATAAAACCAAGGGTAGGTTTAAATGTTTCTTCTCATGCTGGAGAAGTGGATGTACTAGATGAGGAGTCTGGATCTTATGGGAAATAATTAAAACAAACCTAATCTATGACACTTCAATTCTATTTCCATGTGTATGATGATCTTGCACTTCTCTAAAAATGTTGTTTTAATTTTGAAGTAACTTTACATGCATGTTCATCAATGCCTATCCTGTTATTCCCTGGTGGAAATTGATATGGGTATCCGACCCCTATGAAGATTTTCAATTTTATTGAATTAATATGAAGTTATCTGAAAATTCTTACAGTCCAATCTTGGGAAAAACACACAAAGCCACCAACCCCTTCCCCAACTGATCCTTACATGACTTGAAGCAATGCATGCACATGTACATGAATGAAAGTGAGAAAATAAGTATTAGTGTTTTTTACTGATAGCAAATGTTTCCATATTTGCGAGAACTTTGTAAGATTTTGTCACAATGTATAAAATATGATCAGAGAAAACGTTAACAGCATCAATAATAGTATATTTAAGAAATGAAGAAAACTGATCTTTTCTTAATATATAATATTTTTATTTATCATATACTTAGTAGTAAATACGCCGATTCTGCACGGTGTGATACGGGTGACGTCACAATACCCCATATCACGGACCGGTCCGAAAAGCCATATCACGTATCGGACCGGCGGGCCGAAAATCCATATCAAACCGGAAGTAACGTTTGTATTAAGTTGAAAAGTTAATTTACTTGATTTTATTCAAATATACATATAAAATAATTCTTGAATGACATTTGTGGTCTTCATTTTTTTTCCAGTTTCCTGAAATTGGCTCTATTAAATTTTAAAGAAAAATGTCACTAACAAGCACAAACATTCTTCAACGATCATATGTGAACTCGCATATTAAGTATTTTGAATATATGATAAATAGAATACTACATACTAAAATCCATATCATATGTCACATCAGCCCTCGGGCCCCATATCAGCCCTCGGGCTGATATGGGGCCACTCGGGCTGATATGACATATGATATGGATTTTAGTATGTAATATTCTCTATATCATTTATGTCATTTCTATTCAAAATCAGTCAAAAATATGTCCATCACTCGGGAGTTATTTAACTCCATGAAAAACTTTTGATCATACACTTTCCTGAGACCTTATTAAACCTCCCTTTTATGAAATTTGTATTTTGGTTAGTTTAAAAGAAACCATATATTAAAATATTTTAATGTAAGCATGCACTTTTACAATATTTGATTATAATTTATCATCTATATCCAACATTTTAGGTGTACAATTGTAGATTTCAATTAAAAAAAAGTATTCAAGATATTTTCATCAAACTTCACATATACAATTGTTTGTAGTACAGTAACTAACATACACCCGACAGGACATAAATTGTCCTTTGGAAAAGTTTTTCTGTTAAGGACAGATGATACAAGTACAAACAATTTTTTTCAAAATATTTGAAAATAACAACTTGAGTCATGTTTTCATGAGTAAAATGATTAAGTTTAACCACGTAATTTTTTATTTTTTATTCTAATTCCACAAAAATGGGATTTGAAGTTAACATTATTTGTATAGATTAATAAGGATGTCTCCAGAGAGGCAGAATTCTGAGCATCACAGAGGGTTTACAATTCCTTTATATTCAAGAAATGTATTTTTTACATCATTTTCAATAAAAATTAGGCCAAAAATTTATATCAATCCAGGCATCCAATTTTTGTTTGTATGATGTCCTTAACATATAAGTTGTGCATTCATTTACATGTGTCAGATGTCCACTGTTGTTTCTTTGTTAATGTTATACCAAATGCAATGATTTCATGACTGCAGTTACGGTAATAGGAGTTTCATTTTCAGTTAAATTCAGGTGAGGATTACTGAGTTCAGCTCAAGTTTCAAACCCAGTTTGCCTGACTCAGGCTTAGCTGATAAACTTACTAGTACCTTACCTAAGACATATGTATGAAAACTGGCATAAATCTTCAAACTATATGCTCATTTAAATTTTCTTTTTTAGATCCTAACAAAACAGCTAATATCTCGCCGATAAGAAAAGATTCTACAGAAGTAAATGACAGTAGCGACAATGGTATGTGTAATCAGTATTGTATTTTGTCTCCATCAGAGCAGAATTGCTCCTCTTTAAAACAGTTTTATTTTATCGTTTTAAAACAAGAACACACACCCCTACCCCCTCTCAGACGCATAAACATACATAAAGCTACAAAACCTTACATATACTTTAGTAATCCTTAATCACTAATGCATTACATTTTTTGTTGTTAAAGTTTCATCTGAGGAACAGAATGTTATGGCGGAGAAAACAAATGTCTCGAATGAGAAAACTTCAAATGATGAAACAGGTGTCTTGCAGAAGGAAACTTCAGTAGTTACCAAAAAAGAAACTCTGGAAGGGATTCATGAAAAGTTTAGAGGTAATAAAACATCATTGCCATTTGATAACTAAAGTTGATTTTATATGATGGCAAAGATAATCTTATTGCTTAGATTTATAGTAGTTTGACTCCTGATTTTTACTGCATATTTGGGGAATCATTTAGACAGTATAATAAAAAATGGATAAATTTTGATTTTATAGGCTATAAAGAACTACCAGTTGTGCACTTAGTTCAACCGGACTTCATCAATCTACTAAGAGAGCCTGACCAAAAACATGTTAAAGAACTGGAGGAGGAATTCATTCTAAGACCACAGAATTACTTTCAGTTAATGGTCGTCAACATCCGTGGCGAGTTTGAGGCAAACTATGACAAATGCCATGTATAGGTCATTGGAGGCAACCACTCTCGACTAGCACTCCAGAACATATTAAGAAGGGAGGACGTCACAAACAAATCCCCATTTGAATTGAAAATGTGCCTTATATACCAAGATCTAAGTCCAGATGAGGCAAAGTACATCGCTAATCAACATAATGAAGTTAGGAAGATGGGCAGTGATTT